AGCACTTAGAACAGATTTGAATAAATAAAAAGTCATATAATGTTTTTTAATAGGAAGACAGCCTCATAGGGATGTCAGTTTCTCTTCATTTATAAATGTCATCCCAATTAAAACAGCAAAATAAATTTTGTCTGTACAAAATTATTCTAAATTTCATACAGAAAAATAAACAGGAATAGTCCAGATAATTCTGATAAAGGAAATTCATGAAAAGGAATTGCTATGCCACTAATATTAAAATATGTTTTAAAAACTTCAAAAATTAAAACATTATAATTGTGAAATATGATTTGTCAGATTGACATATGGCGTGGAATTGAAAATCCTGAAAAACACCCAAATACATACAGAGGTTTTATTTAGAATAAAGGTAGCATCTCAAATATGTGGGGAAAAGTTAGGCTGTCCAATAGTAAGTGCTGCTGACTATCACCATTTTTGGATTTACTTCACATTGATAGTAGAATAAATTCTAAATGTGTTCTATATTTAAAATGGGAGAATGAAGAAGATATTCATAGCTATGACTCAAAATCTAGAAATCATAAAATATATAGTTGAGAATTCCATTAGAACTCCTGCATAGCCAAAAGCAAACCAAATTAAACTATACACACACACACACACAAACACACACACAAACACACACCTAAGCAAAATCAGTAAATAACAAAGTGAGAAATGTGTGTATATAACTCATATCAGAATGAAGAGTTGACTTCCCCAGTATATAAACAGCTTCTGTAAACTGATCAGATTGGTAAATCAAAAGAATAACTGTGACATAGGAAAATAGGCACAAATATGGGTAACGTACAGGATGTACACATGGTTCTAAAACATATGAAAATATGCTCAATGTCAATCATAATAAGAAATATGTAAATTAAAACCACATAGATTTCTTAAGAATTTATCAGGAATGGCAAAAGTCCAAAGTACAGCCCTGTTGCTTATCTCTGGAGTACTTTCCTGACTCTCCCACACACTGCTCCGGGGAACGTCAATTGGCAGGGTCTTTGCAGAGGGTGATCTGGCAGCATCTCTTCTACGAGAGATTTAAAGATATATTTGCTTCTTTTTTCTTCCTTTCTTCATTTTTCACTACTGAAGACTGAACCCCTGGTGCACTGAGCTAAACTCCAGAACTTTTTAATTTTTGACGCAGGCTCTCACGAAGTGGCTGCCTAGGCGTCCCTGGAACTTTGGATGCTCTTGCCTCAGCCTCCTGAGGAGCTGGGATTAAAGGCGTCCACCACCACACCTGGCTGCACTTGCCCTTTCATTCAGTGTCTCCACTTCTGTTATTTATCCTAGGCCTGAGCATACTCACGTGCTCAGTGAAGAACTGCAAAGTTACCCACAGTAGCATTGTTTGAAAGCAAAAGATCGCCAACTTAAATACCCAGCTACAGGGGTTGTTTGGGCGCACTGCTGATAGCAAACACCAGTGAGAAACAGCGAAGAAGTGTATTGTGTGCCACAGTGAAAAGCTCTCTCGGACACACCTGTAACAAGGGGGGAACTCCACATTGTGTACTACCGACCAAGGAGAAAAAGAATGAGGAGTGCGGACGAACATATTCTATTTGCTTCTATGTGAGGAAAAAGAATGTCTCAAAGGTCACACAACAAATTCACCACTGTGGCTACTTCTCCCGGGGAGGGCAGGAACTGGGGAGGTAAGAAGGGACGCTTTTCTCTGTGCAATATTTTGAGGATTTTTCCGCACTCCCCAATGCATTCATTACTCATTTTAAAAGTTCAGTAAGAGCTCTGCTGTGTGAAGGAAGTACAGTGTGGACAATGTCTCCTCTCCGTCCTTCACACCCTCAGAGCAGCCAGGTTCTTGCCACAACAAGGACTGAGACCGGTGAGGTTGTCTCGGTTTCAGAGCCTGCAGCGGGCATAGCTGGGTCCCTGAAGGTTCTAGAACTTACTCAGGCCTGTCAAGTGAGGTCCAGGGTGACTCTAAAACTGGAAATCTGGAGCTAGGAGAAATCTCTGATTGCTGAGGTGAGGAGGCAGGTGCCCAAGGTTGGGGCCCTTCCAGACAGCCCAAGGGGACGGCCATAGCCGCACTGCAGACAGTCCTAGAGGGTGCCCAAGGCCAGCGGCCTGAATAGCCAGGCCATGTGACACCTCCTGACCTGACTTCTAACTTCTCTATCCCTGCTCACCCCTCGCGGCTGGTGGGAGCTGAAAGCTTTCAGGCAGGATTACTACACCAAGGGGAACTGGAGGCCTGGAAAGGGGATTGGCCTCTGGAGGAGGAAACTGTTGCCCCCCAGGCCCTGGTGGCCTCAGCATCCAGACTGTCTGATTACAGAAGTGAGGCTGAGGCCTGCACACTGAAGTCCGTGCTTTAATTTCCCTGGGGGAACATCCCAGAGTTCAGGGCAGCCTCGTTTATTTCTTTGATCGCCCCGTGGCTGGAGCCGCGTGCAGAGCAACCCCTGCTCTGCGCCGGCTGCAAGGGGCTCCAGGCCACCTGGGCCTGGGTGGACAAGGAATAAAGTTAGCCACAAAATGCTCTCTGTGCACCCAGCTCAAGTCACTCTGTCTGTCCACTGTCACTGAGCATTTAACATGATCTCAGCACAAGCCCAGGCTGCCTCTGGGGTCTCCAAAGCTCCACGTTTCTTCCCACTGCCAAGGACCCTCCACACAGTGGAGCAAATGAAAGAAAGGTTCTTGTACTGCTCACTAATTACTTGCTTGTTTGTTCATTTGTTCATTTGTTTGAGACTCTTGCTATGTCACCCAGGCTGGCCTGGAACTCACTGCAATCCTCCTGCCTCAGCCTCCCAGGCTCTGGGATGACAGGCTTATGTCACCATGCCTAACTGCTTTTTGCAGCTAAATTTTATTCACAAGAACACTTCGACCTCCTTGAAGCCATGGATGTCTGTTGTGCTTCTTGATGTTCTTAGAGCCCCCAGCACAGCCTAGGACACAAAGAAAGTCTCACAATAAACGCCTGCTTGTCACTTGCCAATTTCTGAACTAAAAATAAAGATGCCTTAGAGTGAGGTCAGACCCACAGTTTTCGCCACAGCCATGCCCTCCCACTATCAGGAGATTGTAAAAGCCAGTCCATGCAGAGTGCACTGATGCGTGCCTGTGATCCCAGCACTGTGGGAGGCTGAGGCAGGAGCATCTCAGGTTCAAGCCCAGTCTGGGCAACTTAGGGAGACCCTGTCTCAAAATAAAAAATTGAAAAGGCTGAGAACATTGCTTAGTACAAAGGCCTGGGTTCAGTCCCCAGTAACACACACACACACACACACACACACACACACACACACACAGAGCAAGCTAGTCCATAAAACAGCTCCAAGGTCCTACCAGCTTTCCCCAACCCTGACTCCTGCCCCCACCGCATTAGCCCTAACCCCATCACTCACACCCTCCAACACAATGCTCACCTTCCTGTTCCTCCCACAGGGAGGGTCACAGTCCTACCTCACGGGCACACCCCTACTCATCGGCACACCCCCGCCCCTTGTCCCGTCCCTGCTCAAAGACCGGCCTCTCGAGAGGCCTTCCTCATCACCCTACTAAAACACTCCCCCACCTGCCACCGCATCCTTGTTTATTTTTCTCTGTATCACGCATCACCACCTTACAATTGCATAGCATCCCTCCGTATTTTTCACCTGTCTCCTCTAAGGAGAAGCTGTTTCCCAAGAGCAGAGCTGTTGAGGTTTTGTCCAATGCTGTACGACTCTGTGCACAGCGGTACCTGGCACACAGGAGGAGCTTAATAAGTGCTTGCTCCATGCGTCTGTAAGTGTCCTGAGTGTCTGGCTGTGCTGTGGTGCTTGCTCCAAGTTACTCCAACCAAAACGCCGTAGATTACACTTGGTTTCTTCCTATGGGTAAAAACCACTTCTGTCCATTTCTCCATAGTTTCATAGATGTAGTTTCATTTATTTTGGTCTCATAGAATACTGCCATTGGTATATAGAGCAGAAATCATAAGGATCCTCAGTTTACAGAGATGAACACTAAGACTCAGAGAAAAGAGATGGTTCCAGAATCTTCTGCTGGGCTCTGGCACAACAGAAGCATCGAGATTTCCACAAGACACTACTCACGTGGGATAGAAAGGTGGGAAGTCTGTCCGTCCCTTTCATAAGCAGGCACTGACACCCCCATAGGAAAGGTCAGACTCGCAGGAAAAAAAGCACAGCCCACTTGCTGAATCAAAGTTTCACATGACTCAGGAGCCTTCAGAAATAAAGGTCCAAAGGCTCTAGAAAAATTCTCTTTATGCTCAGTTTTGTTGACCTAGGATAAAATAAACTCAATCAAGACAAAGAAAATTACATTTATTTGGGGCTAATTAAGATTGCAAGCCAGGAAAACACAGATTCGCTGCGTGTGGTGACACGGCCTGTGATCCGCACTCTGGGAGATTAAGGCAAGAGGATTACAGGTTCCAGCCCAGCCTGGTTATTTAGCTACTGAGTGAGACCTTATCTAGAAATGAAAGAAAGGGCTGAGGATTTAGCTCAGTGGGAAGGAGGCCCTGAGTTCAATCCCCAGTACTACAACAAAAAACAAAAACAAAATAAAAAAGGAAGGAGGGAAGGAAAGGGAATGGAAGCAATAGGAGGGGAGGGGAGGGGAGAGGAGGGGGGAGGGAAGGGGAGGGGACGGGAAGAAGGGCAGGCAAAACAGAGGTTGTATTTATAGCTGTAAACTGCAAGGAGGTGATCATTACCTTATTTGTTATTTGGGAATTCTGACTGGTGCTAGTAGCAGGAATCAGGGACAGGTAGTTTGGAGGAAGGGGTTCACTGTACCAAAAGCCAGCCAGGGTTAACAGTGCTTCGAAGGTCAGCTGGAGTCAGGGGGTGTTCTGTCAGCAGCCCAGGTCAAAGGGCCCGCTGCAGACATGCCTGACGTGTGATTAATAACGGCCCCCGGACTCTAATCACCCAGAACCAAAGCTACTCCATTTTAACTTTTTTCCTTGATGGTTTCAGTGAAGAATGGACAGCCCTGTAGAAAATGAGCTGCCATTCAGTGTAGAAGGGACAGCCCTGCGAGTGGACAGCAGGAGCAGCCCAAAGGTAACAGGCCAGGAGGAGAGCGGGCCTGTCTGTTCCGTCCTTCTTGGCCTCTCTGGGCAGCATTCCTTTCTCCAGGTCGTGGACCAGATTCTCTTCAGGGATGGGACCTTACAAGCCACCATCACACAGGGCACGGCAGGGGGTTTCCCTACGGTCAGCCTCTACGGCCAGAAAGGCGTCAGGAAGACAAGGGTCAGACTTCGAGGTTTTCCTGGCTGCACTGGGGGAAAGAGACTCGAGTTTCTGTGATTCCGCTTGGAGGAGCAGGAGGAGGTCCGGAAGCGACTGCTTCTGTGCTCCAGCTCCAAGTGCCCTCCTGCTTCGGGGTGCTTTTCTGAGCCTCAACCCTTACTCCAGGGCCTTAGGACTGTTCATAAGACCTTCTTTCTCTTCTGTCCTATGGATTCTTCCTGAACCATCCTACCTTGCTTCAAGAAAAAAATTCATATTTCCTTTCTTCCCCTCCCCACCCCTCACCTTCCAGAGAGCTGCTCATTGCCCCCCACACGTTACGCTGCCCCCGACACCCGGAAGAGGAGACTGACAGGACCTCGGTGGCACGGGGCTGTGTTCTAAATGTGGGCCTGTGTTTTCCAGGTCCCGTCCCACCGCAAAGGGCAGAAGCCGGACTAATGGGGATTCACGGGCATAATTCCCGTGGAGTTCATGAAGACAGGGATGGGCCCGCATTCTAGGGCCTGGGACGCAGGCTCTGGGCACCTCCCGACCCCGCCTGGCTAGCTCGGGGTCCCTTCCACCCGCCAGCATCCCAGCCCTGCACCGCCAAAGCAGAGCAACCCTGACACCGGACCCTGTTTCTTTGGGCTCCCTCCTCCCCGCACTGCACACCTCTGCTAGCCCAGCACTGTCTCCCTAGGTCCCCGGTCAGCCTGAAAGGACATCCTGGTTCAAGACGAGTAGGTCTAGGAAGGTCCCTGCAGAGTTGCAAAGTCCGGGTGAGAAATCTGGGGGGAAATTCCAGGCGGGACAGACAGCTTGGGTGGGCAAAGTGGGGGCTGGAGATGGTGTTTTATTATGGGCGCGCGCGCGCGCACACACACACACACACACACACACACACACGCACACGCACGCACGGCGGGGGCGGGCACTCCTGATGAGCAGGCCTCGCCTGCTTCTCTTCCATCGCGGCAATATCCTGTGTGCACAGACATGGAGAGAACAGGGACACGACCATCGACCGCTCGGCGCGGCGACAGAGCGCGGGGTGGCGCTGGCCGCCCCCCTTTGCAGCCCGCTGCGCCCGCCGGGCCGCGCGCCTGGGCGCGCATGGAATTTTCCACCGCGCAGCGAGGCTGCGGCGCCGCGAGTCGCCTTGGCCCGGCGAGCGGGGGCGTGGGCCCCGCGTGGCTGCGGAGATGCGATTAGCCGGGCAGTCCTCCTCCGTGGGCTCTGCAAGGTTCTCATTGATCGGGTCGGCGGGGCCCGGAAAGGGAAGCGGAGGGAGGGTGGGGGCCGGGGGCCGGGTCTGATTTCTCACCGGCTGGGCGATGCCAAGCTGCCACACGGAGAATAAAGGCTGCATGCAGTAAGCGGGGAGAAGTCGGGGAAGACCTTAGAATTCGCGTCTTCGGAGTAAAATTCCCCTGGGAACCACCGAAAAATAAGCTTCCCGATTTTAAGTCCTGGCCACCATTTAAGCCTCTAGGCATGCACTGCCAGGGACAGGTACCCTTTGGGCTGTGATTGTCAGGCTCTCGAATCAAATCAGAACTTTGGCACCAAATCGCCTCCCCGCCCCCGCCCCCAGCCCGGGGATCGGTGATGAAACACAGCCGGGGAAGGGCGAGCGCACACCAGGGACCGAGGGGACCTTGGCTGCGACCGAGTCAGCGTCCACTTCCCCAAGCTGACATGAAGCTACGTGGCGAGACAGGAGGCGCAGTATTCAGCAGGCTGTTCAAACAGTGCTGCTGGCCTAATGGAATTTAAGTGTGAACCAGTCTTGTTGATTTGTGATTAAAAACGGTGCCCTGGTTTTGTTTCTCCTGAGGTCTCCGGCATTAGAAAGCTTTTTTTCTGAGTTATTGTTAAACCACCCTGTGAGCCAGTGCTGGCCCTCATGAAATGTTTGCTGAGGGAAGGAGTGGTGTTTCTCGTGCTCAGGGACCTCAGGATGGGGGTCTGAGCTCCAGCGCCTCGCCTGGCTCTTCGTGTGACTTTGGGCGTCTCATAATTCCTGAGAGCCTTTTGCTTTTGAAATGAAGCGAATAGGTTCCTCAGAAAATTAAGTGGAGAATTATCCTATGGAACAGATGGGGTGTCACCCACAAGGAGATATTACTCAGGCATAAAAAGGAAGGCAATCTTGACACATTCCATAATGTGGGTGAACCTCAGAGATACGCTTTGTGAAAGAACCCGGACACAAAAGAGCGTACAGTGTCTGGTTCCACTGATGTGACATATCTAGAATAGGGAAACCTGTACAGACACAACATGGCTGTGGTTGGCAAGAGCTGGGGAGAAGGAGGGACAGAGAATAACCAGCTGCTCGGTGCCTGAAGGGCTTCCTTTGCGGGCCATGAAAGTTTTGGAACTAGAGAGCGGGTGGTGTCTGCCCAGCACTGGGAAGGTACTGTCATTCGGTTATACACTTTTACGTGGTAAATGTGAAGCTCTGTGACTCTTACCGCAGAAAAGACGAGGCTAGTAAAAATGCCTGTCTTAAAATTAAATGAAATTATCTACATGCAGATGTTTGAACAAGTCCAAAACCCTTCCTCTGAAGTCCTTCTATCTTATTTCGTAGAATGGTTCATTATCTCCTTGTAAAACTTTCTAAAACTCCAGCAGTATGAGACACGCCTCCCCCCCGCCCGCCCTGCACCGATTGGAGCGTCACTCAGGAGCCGGACATTGTACAGCTCGAGTTCCTTGGCTAGTGTCCCCACAGTGGGAGGACAAAGGCCCTAGCTCCAGGCTCAGCACTAGCCCAGTAAGACCAAGCTAGGAGAAGAGCGAGGTGAAGAATAGAAAAAGAATTCTAATCAGCAAGGGCCATAAAATGGTTCAAGAGCTGTCTGTGAGGTACAGACAAAAGCTTTGGGGAGTTACAGAGAAAAGGGAACAGAAGTAAGGGTTGGGGTTTGCAGAGCTGACAGTGTGGGTAATCCATGGTCTGACTGACCAGTATCTCAGGATTGGTCCTCTGATGTTCTAGGGGAGCTGTTGTCATCGTCTCTTGAGGGGACAACTTGGTCCCCATCACATGATGTCTCCTGATTTGTGGGGCAGCCTTGGCTCCAATCATGGGGTAACTGCCCCCCTTTGGGGGTGACCTCACCATGGATGATCTCCGAGGTTCTGCTTTTCCTGGACACCAAGGTGATGGAAGGTTTAGGACACTAACCAGAGACTTCTAGGCACCATTCCAAGGAGTCTAGAACAGGGTGGGTTTTGTTGCTTTGTTTTGTTGGTACCGGGAATTGAACTCAAGGCCTTGCACTTGCCAGGCAGGTGCTGCACCACTGAGCTACATCCCTGGCCCAAGAACAGGGTGTTGTAAAAGCTGGCAATTAACTGTGCCTGAGGATTAGTTAATCCTGGTGTCCTCAGTTCTGAAAGGTAATGAGATAGGCTATGTAAATTTGGGGCTAGTGGACCTAGTAATACAAAAATACACTCCTTACACACAGAGCTGAGCGGGGATCCGACCCAAAGTTTTAAGGTGAAACAAATGCCACCTCCTAAAGAATCAGAGATGCCAAGCATCATCCTGTTCTCAGTTCCCCAGTGGGCATCGGCAGGCCCAGCCACCAGGCCCTGTTACACCAGGAGATCGTGAGAATGGGAAGCCCCCGCTGTGGACCTGAGCTCCTGCACAACAGGCCGTCTTTCAGGCAGCAGGACCTCAATGCACCAGGGAAATCACGGGAAACTCTGAGTAGCAGGACTGGGCGTTTAAAAATTTCAGTACCTATACAGGCTCCTCAGAGGAAAAACCACAAAACCCGTGCGACAGCAAGCAGCCTGCCTGGGCTGGGATTTAGGCTGCCGAGGCTGAGGTGAGTCTCCGCTCTGTCTCCTTCCACATGGGTGACCTTAGACCAACACTCTTGCCAAGAGCCCATTTTCTTATCTAACAAAAGGGGTTTACTGAAGTACCTACCGCACAAGGCGGCTATCGGGACTGAGCTACATACGTGTGCCAGAAATCAACAGGCATTAGCCAGTGCGCCTGAGCATTGTGTGGGTTGAGCTCTGGTGCAGGGTTGGGGCGGTAAATAGGACACGGGCCACTGAACATTTCAAGCAGAACAAGGGCTGCGTGGCAGTTGTTTAAAGCAATGTGGAGCACTACAGGATGGCAGGGGGACAGCAGAAATTCTGGGGCAGGGGACCAAGATAAGAAGGAAGTGAGATCAAGAGGAGCAGTGTGGACACAAAGCCAGGAGGAGCTATCTGCCAGGTCCCCGTTCCTATTGGGAGAGGTTCACGAGTAGGACCACAGACAGTCTCCACACAGCACAGGAAGAGCTTTCTTCTGTTGTGACAGTGAAAATGGGCTGTGGTATTCTGTCCCCTGCAACAGGGCAATGGAAAGTCCAGCTCCCAACTCCATGGCGCCATGTGGGCTTCCTTGGCGGAAGCCACTAATGGATTAACTGACTAGAGACCCTCCGCGGGGGTGTCCCTGATCGGTCCCTCTGGTCCCCTCCTGAGTTGTAAGTCCCGTCATGTGAGTGAACCTTTCTGCAAATCATCCTGAGGCCCACAGACTTTGGCAGCAAAAGGGAGGAAAGGATGTCATAGCAATTAAGACGTTTCATGGCTTTCCATGTGAAAACCATCCTCATCCTTTGTAATACTAACCACCTACCTGATCCTACTGTCTTCACTGTCATGGGGGCCCCTGCTCCACTTTCCACTGACGTTTGCCTGTTTCTGATGTGCCGCTGTGAGAACCAAGGGGTGTCCCCAAATGGAAAGTCTGTGATGCAGCCTTTGTCCCCAAAGTCAGTTGCCACCAGGCTCAGGGCAGGGAGCTCAGTGAGCAAGCACTCAAGGGAGAACAGGTCTAGTGATTCCAAAGGAAGCAGATTTGGGCTTCTTGGAGATGTACTGTCAGACCTCAGACTGTCTCAGTCTCCTGTACCCATGCAGTTGTCCCTTGGTCTCCATGGGAGACCGGTTCCAGGATCCCAAGGAAACCCAGATCCACAGATACTCATGGCCCTTATGTAAAATGATGTATATCTGCATGGAACCTACACACATCCTCCTGAACCCTTTCAGTCACCTCTAGATTACTTGTAATATAGTACCGAGTACCGTGTTGAAGATAGGTAAATAGTTACTCCGTCTTTTCAAGGGAATAATGACAAAAGTCTCTACACCTTCTCTAGAGATGCAAATTTTTTTCTGCATGTTTTCAATCCACATTTTGTTAAATCCACAAATGCAGAACCCACAAATATAGAGGGCTACTGCACATAGCTACTGGGATTCTATAAATGGCTGAATATTTAAGAAGTGTTCTTTATTAGACATAATTTGAAAATGTTACTGGGCTCTGGGGTGCTGTATGCTCTTCCCAGAGATCCTTTCCAGGTTCTTACTGTTCTGAACCAAAAATTGGGAAAGACATGCGGGTAAAGGTAGCAAAGTTTCACAGTTATTAATGGGAGGAAAAGGAGTATGCTCTGCAGAGTACAGAATGAGCCGCTAAAAGTGTTTACAGTGGCCACACCGTCCTATCAAAACCCTGCTTGGTTTTGTGCCAGGAGAATCAAAGATAGCATTTTCTGATTGGTCTCAGATTCAGGGCTTGCATACAAGTGTCCTGAACATGGTGATTCATGGTCACACCCACTTGCTCAGCAGGCTGGCTACACCCTAATCTCCTGCCTCAGAACCACAATTCTACCTGACTTTTTATGTGTATAGTACATTCCTGTTCTGTGCTGTCCCTCTCCTTCCCATTTTCACCCCTCTAACAAGGACACAGCTAAAATGCTCCTCCAGGGATGGCAGGAAACTCACACTTAAGTGTGCTAAGCAGTTAAGAGTATTCAGTGATTACAGTCACAACTAACTTCAGGGGCATCCCAACTTTAAAATATAAGTAATACATGTTTATTGTATAAACTTTTAAAAATTAAGAAAAAAATTTAAGCACTCCAGTCTAGCCATTCAGGAATTACTACTATTAAATATTCAAATTCCAATTTTTTTTTTTTTGTACCATGAATCAAACTCAGGACCTTGTACTTGCCAAGCAGGCACTTATGCCACTGAGCTATACCCTTGGCCTCAAATTCCAATTTACATGGTTTTAATAAACACACATGGAGAGGGAAGAGCAGAAGACCAATAGAAATCAATAACCAATAAACTTGAGGCCCCTCCAAGGGCGCATGATGGGGATGGTGCTTGAATGTGGAAAGTAAGCAGGAA